GATGCACCGACAGACCTGACTGTGACAGAACATTACTGAACCTGAAAATTACTTGAATAATCACAATGCATGTAGAAATTTTTCTTTTTATGTTGATCAAATGTTTTACATTAAATGTTTTGCTGTGAAGGCTATTTTTGCAGTGGTGCTTTAAATAAATGCATAAAATATTTATTTTCTTAAGTATGTCTTTATTAGCTCTCAATTGTGTCATAATATCAATCGAGAAAGAAATTTACTGCTTGTGAAAATCTAAACCATCTGAATACATTTTACCATCTACATTAATCAACTTGAAATGAAGATGAACAGGAACAGCAGGTTTGTCCTGGTTTGCAGACGAGGTATATATTTGTTTAAGGGCCGATGAAATGGGGTCCAGACACAAACACAGTTTAATCTGAAGATTCTGGAGGATGTGTGAATAGGTCTGTTACCATGAAAAAAAATTACTGTATGATAAGTTGTTCCAAAGTTCTCAACAAACGATAATATAGTTCTTTTGAGACCATTTTTTAAGTTATATAATGGTAATGATGAAATAATAATGCTAGAACACATTCTCAAAGGTCATTAAACTTTAAATTCTAATGAACATTTAACACTGGGAGACATTTTTAGTATCCATAATAAATAAAACTAATGAATTTTGAAGTCTTTTGAAACAAAATTGCTTTTCGAAATAAGGTCTAATCGAGACCAAAGTACCAAACTGAAGACTTTTATTATCCAGTTTTTGGTATAAAGAGAGAAAAAGAGAAACAATAAATCATGCCAATGGAAATGATTGAGTTTGTTTTATCATCTGATTAATTGATTTATTGATTATTCTGACAGGCCTATGTGTGAACATTAGACTAAATCCTTAAGTATGTTGAGAAGTCAACATAAATGAAGTACCTTTCAGTTTGTTATGGTGAATAAAGTCTAGCAGCAGATGATGTTCCTGCAGGTCCAGATCTACCTTCATTACTGCTGAAGCAACAAAATACAGTTTCAGTGATACTGACCAACATCTATAACTGCCATAAACTCCTGAAGATGTTTGTCGACTTCGGCATCATAAAACTTAATCAACCTGGTTAAAGTTAGACTGAAGACAGACGATCAAACTGTGTGACAGTAAAAATCCACGCTTAGCTCCCAACAGCTAACGTAAACATAGCTGACATAAACTTTAGCTCCCGCTAACAGAAACATGAGGAGCGCAGAGTATCAAAATACCAGACATATCAAACGTAACCTGAAATCATTTATAATTACTCCATGTTTCATTATAATCGGAGAGCAAAGCCTGCAGGTTTAGCTTGTACTTACTTCAGAGGACAGACCACCGGGACGCTCCGTCTTACTTCTGGGTTTGCCTGGCTATTTTTCCGGCCAGCGAACCATTCCGCCACCCAGTGGTCCTTTTTCAGACCACTTAGTCTCCTGTACCGCTCAAAAATGCACAATATGTCTGTAAATAATTTTAGGATATTATAAGGAAGTGCTGAGATATACCGTTTTCCACGAACTAAAGTATTTGCCACTTAGGCACAAGCACAGTGAGAAACGTCAGAGGATAAAAACACTAGACTCAGAGCAAAACTCAGATGTCCCAGCTTTTACTAGCATGTAAACGCACCATCTACACACAAATCTGGGAGCTTCCCCGAAGCGTGAAATGAGTCTCAAAACTACTTGTGCACTCGTAACGGGATCTGTGTGTAAATGCAGTTTTGTGTGTGTGTACCAGGTGATTTGTGTGTACTTTTTCAACATGTATAGGCGTAGGAGAAGGTTTATTTTATTTTTAAGGTTTACAAATCCAGTATTACACGCACAGATATTTTTACACACACACAAATCTTTTTACACACGTACAAATAATTTTACACACACACAAATCTTTTTACACACGCACAGATATTTTGAGACTATTTTCACTCCATAAAAAAGTCATGGTCAAATTTTTTATTTTATTTTTTCTGTAAGAATCAATTTCTCTCCACTTCATAATGTTTCACTTTGAATAGGCCCATCATAAAATAAACTCCATGAAAAACACAGAACTGTGTGGTTTTATCATGAAAGAATTTGAAAAGTTATGGGGCTGTAGATACTTTTCCAAGGTAACGTATGAGCTGTTTTTTGATGATGTTTTTAGCTACAATAGAAAGCAATCAAATGAGCGCTTTGATTGATTCCGTGTGTTTTTTAGCCAAACAAACCACGGCTTTCCAGGGACCAGGTCATGCTCCGTTCCCCTGCCGGTGACAATAGAAACAAGCTGAACCCTGTGAATCAGAGCAGTGGCATTTGGAGCGAGTGCGCCGACGCCCACACTCAGACCCACACTGCTGCTGCTGCATGCAGCCAGAGTCCAGCTTCAACGTACACCAGATGCGTTCACTTGTCCGATTGTTCCAGAAAAGACGCTGGCATGGTTCTAAGCACGTGTGTTGCATCGAGTCTTGTTGGAGCTGTAAATGTCTTCATCCGTTTGAGCTGCTGGCTGACCTTCTGTATTTTTTTTTTTGTAGCCGCTCCATTTATGCTCTGTTTTCTTTCACAAAGAATTCATTTTGTTAAAAAATTAAAAGTGATCACCTTAAATTCCACCTGCACATGAATTCAAAGTCCAGTTGTCACCCCCGCCCTCTCCAATCCACTTCCTGTGGCAGCACTGCCAGCTTTGTTTTGGTAAATTGCTGCAGCCATTTGCATACATCTGTTTATAAGTTCACATTGTTTTAATCTGGAAAATATGCTAATGATTTTTGTGAGGTAGGTGTCTTGTATAATGTGTGTGTGTGTTGTAATAATAGCAAAGGGTGAGGGTGACGAAGGTGAGGGAATGTGTCAAATTAGTCCTCGCTGCACCTTTTAGGTCTATTTGCATTCGTTTCCATGCTGCTGCTGCCAGCGCAAGTGTTGCTTCTTGATTAGCGCTAAAATGAAGTTTTGTGGGGAAAGTGTACAGCAAATCTTGACCTGTTGATGTGATTAACTGGGAGTGTTTCGAAATGTTCGTCTTAACTGGAGATTATGATGTATTAATCCGGGGAGACGACAGTTTTGACACCAGTTGTTTTGTTTATGCAAAATATACGGAAAAAATCCAATTTTTGTTCTGTTACATGGAGATAAACTGATAGAAATAATGTGACTTGTTGAAATATTCATTTTTGTGGAACTTTTTCCACATAAAATAACTTTTATTAGGATTTTCAGACTAATACAATGAAACTATGAATATTTTACAGAGGGTTCACTATATGAAATTAAAGAAAATGTCCAAGTTGTTGACAAGCGTACCCCAATAGGTGGCAGTAGTTACAGTTTAAGTAAGACCCTAAAAATGGGCTCAGTCCTTTTAATCACCAACAGGAAATAAAGGAATTTGACTAATCAGAGTATTAAAAATATCCACAATGCATTAGCCATCGATAGTGGCCATTTTAACACATTTAGCTGCTATATTACTGTTTGTTATTGTAAATTAAAAAGTGAAAATACAATTTAAAAAGAAAAACAATTCACTTCTCATATAGCCTGAGTTTAACATTTCACTGGGTTAGCATATCTTCATGGGTTTTTCTCTGCAATGTGAAATAGCAGAATCGACTCACACTAAAAGGCATTGTCGCCACCTACTGTTAAGGCATAAAAACGACAGTCTGCTGGATGTGGTTAATGGGGTATACATAGACATAATATAAGCATAGACGCCTCATGGACCGCTCCGGCGCAGGAAATACGGTTCCAAGAAATTCAATTCAGTTTTCTGTCGATAATATGGTTTCCTTGTACGGATGTGTGGTTTTTCCATGTCAAAGT